TTGTTTCGAAAGGATTACGACTTTGACGACTCAAAAGTAGGAGGCCTTGTGGGTTTTCATCGTGTTGTCTTCGAGGATAGAGAGTTTGCTACAGAACCGGAAACAGACGGAGATTTAGTTGAAAGATTATCAAAGATCGCTCTTAAGAAACACAATGATGATAAGGTTTGTTTTTTTACCTTTTTTCTTCTTATTATCTATACAAATCTCTCATGTGTGCTTTTGGTTTGTCCAGAATACAAATCTTGAATTAGTGAGAGCTGTGAAAGCTAATTGGAATCATGGCGGAGGATACATTTTCTCCATCACACTCGAGGCCAAGGATGCTTCTTCTTCGCACACTGAGCCTATACCTTTTCATGCTAAGGTTGGCTACCTTCATGGGGACACAAAGGTTTACCATATCAATCCTAAACCATGATCATCAGATAGGTAAAGAGGAGGAAAGAGGCTTCTTTTTCATATTTGTTTACCAGTAAAACTTGTTTTTGTTATGTCTTTAGGGGCTAAGTAGTGGCAGTCAGTAGATAGGTCAAGTTTTCATCTTTGTGGGAATATATATCCGGAAAGAAAGGGGAACGTAACTGATCATCTATCTCACATCTTGGTTTGGTATTATCAACTATGTAAGATCTCTAGCATGTGTTTAGTGGTTAAAACTGTTGTTTGCTACTCTCTTCATAAATTGTAGCTACGTAAGATAGGCAAAGCTTCGATTTCATATAGCCATATACTCCCTTCATATAGTTTTTTAGTCCATATAGCCAATTTGCTGTTGCTCTGACTATGAGACTGCTTCATGTTTTCTTGCATTTGGTATTGTCTCCGGGTCAACTAACCTTTAACTACATTGCGCCTTCTCCGTGAAAACATTAATGAACATTCTCATTCTTTGTTAGTTCCTCTGTTTCGGCTCTACTCTCAAGTTCAAATTTGTTAATATGTGTATTTTGCAGACTGAGTAGAGAGTTGGTGCATTTGGGAATTGCAAGCTCAAGTCAAGAAGAAGTTGTTCCTTAGTAATTACATTCTACCTACTTGATATGAACGTCATTGGGATAAACTTGTGCATTTTTAGTTGTTATTGCAATAAGTCAAGTGTATCTCTAACTTTTGATGTGATCAGTTGTGTACTTGATGATTGCTAAGACTTTTTAGACTTTTGGTGGTTTGTATTATGATTAGGCCATGATTTTTCATCTTCACAAGCTCCATAACCAAATTCACTGTTTTTTCATCTTACATTGGTGTAAATGTAAAAATAAAAAGAACAAATTTAACTGGTCTTCTCTGTGCAACGAAGACTAGTTACATCATCAACTCTAGAGAGTAAATTTATTACGAACTGTTTTCTCTGTGCGGATCAAAGCATATAATCATTTTATCATCATCGATTATTTTCAGGCAGCGTTCTAAAATGCAGGCTAGACGGACACGTTCTAAAAATTCCATTTGAGTCAAAGGAGAAAGAGTTGTCTTATAAAAAAAATTTCAATTTTTAATTTCTCTCCTCTCAACTAATTCCACAGCTGCCTAAAAATCTAAACTTTAAGCATCTTTCCACCACTTTATGTTCTTCATCTTCCCCAACAAAGCCTTTCTCTTTAATTCCTGAAAAAATGGATGCTTTTACTATAAAGATCAAACCTTTGCTTATTCCTCTGTTTCATGTTCTTGATTCTCTACTAAAGTTTCGATTTTAGTCTCTGTGTAGTGAGATTTTGAGCTTAGTAGCTATGAGGAATTGCTTAGCTAACAAATATGGTGAAAGATCTGTAGAGATTGAGAGCAAAGGAACAAGTACCTCACCAATATCTATCACCGACTAAACAACAACACAGTAGTACTATACTCGAGAAGCCTTACGAAGATGTGAAACAGTTGCACACACTAAGCAAATAATTGGGTCGAGGTCAGTTTGGAGTAACGTATCTTCGTACAGAGAATTCAACAGGGAAGAGATTCGCTTGTAAATCGATATCGAAGAAGAAACTTGTGACGATTCGTAAATTGTTCATTTATTCAAGTTTTAAAAAGTTGATTGATTCTTGTCATGTTACCATAGACACCTTGTGTCCTTTTCAGACAATCATGTGAACTTGTTTTGAATTAGTGGAGTCTCTCTGTTTCGCTAATGTGCGACAGTTTTTAATGCTTTTTTGCCTTATAATCTTAAGGTGGTTCTCATTCTCTTGTGTTTATTTTTTAATTGGCTTTTTGGTTCATTGATTATTTGAAGTTATTGAATCCTTCAGTCTTTAGTTGTGCCATTTCTTATCTCCACTTTGTTTAGTTGACCATTGGGGGAAAAATCTACTCTGAAAAGTGTAGAGAATACGCAATTGGGCCTTGAGGAAAGAAGCGTGGCCCAAACTAATTCAAACCCAACACCAAAGAAGCCCACTAAACAGAGTAAGACAAAAGAAGTGAAGCAGAGCGATTGCAGTACGGAGGAGGAGGAGCGGCTTCATGGAAATCGGTTTGAACTTCTTCAATCCTTATCCTGTGAGTCAAATGCCAGCTAGCTCATTGAGGATAAGGATGCGTTTCTGGATAGCTCTAGAGGGTTCTATTTCTAGATTGTTCTTACAATGGTCTATAAAAGAAGTGTAAACACATCTCTGTAAATCATCTAGAAAAAGATCAATTTTCAGTATAAAGCTTCGTCTTTTCATTGTTTTCACA